TTCAGCTTGATGAGTTATGCCGTTAATTTTTAAAAAATAGTGATAGGTTTATTACACAAAAAAGTATAATTATTCCACAACAAACATAAAACGGGGAAATCACTCTATCTCAAACAACAAACATCAGATTGGCCTGAAAATTTTTCTACAAAGAGAAGTCATTACCACCTGCCTGCTGTAAAAATTTCAGCTTGATGAGTTGTGCCGTTAATTTTTAAAAAATAGTGATAGGTTTATTACACAAAAAAGTATAATTATTCCACAACAAACGTAAACGGGGAAATCACTCTATCTCAAACAACAAACATCAGATTGGCCTGAATTTTTTTCTACAAGTAGAAGTCATTACCATCTGCCTTCAGAGAAAATTTCAGCTTGATGAGTTGTGCCGTTAATTTTTAAAAAATAGTGATAGGTTTATTACACAAAAAAGTATAATTATTCCACAAAAAACGTAAAACGGGGAAATCACTCTATCTCAAACAACAAACATCAGATTGGCCTGAAATTTTTTCTACAAGTAGAAGTAATTACCATCTGCCTTCAGAGAAAATTTCAGCTTGATGAGTTGTGCCGTTAATTTTTAAAAAATAGTGATAGGTTTATTACACAAAAAAGTATAATTATTCCACAACAAACGTAAAACGGGGAAATCACTCTATCTCAAACAACAAACATCAGATTGGCCTGAAATTTTTTCTACAAGTAGAAGTCATTACCAACTGTCTTCTGTGAAAATTTCAGCTTGATGAGTTGTGCCGTTAATTTTTAAAAAATAGTGATAGGTTTATTACACAAAAAAGTATAATTATTCCACAAAAAACGTTAAACGGGGAAATCACTCTATCTCAAACAACAAGCATTAGATTGTCCTGAAATTTTTTCTACAAGTAGAGGTCACTACCAACTGCCTTCTGTGAAAATTTCAGCTTGATTTGTTGTGCCGTTAATTAAAAAAAAATCGTAATAGATTTATTATACAACAGTAAAACAGGCAAATCGCTCTATCTCTAACCCCAACCTTCAGATTGGCCTGAAATTGTTTCTACAAGTAGAAATTATTGCAAACTCAACCATTATGGAGTAGTCACTACAAAGCGAAAAAAAAAAAAAAAAAGTTTGGATTCCCTAACACAGACATCAGATTTCAGGTGTTAAGACTCATTGCCGTGTCTCATGGGGAAACTTTGAGCCAGGCTTCCCCTTTTTAATAAGGTAGTTTCTACGCCGATTTTTTTTTCGATTCTAAACCCAATCACCCCGTTTGCAAGCAGGTTGAACGTTACTAAGAACAACCAACAATCCGAGATGGTTTTTAATGTCCTATATGAAGACTGCTTTTCTTCTGTTAAAAATCTTCAATTAATTTTTTCCACAACAAAAGTAAACCGGGGAAATCACTCTATCTCTAACCCCAACCGTCAGATTGGCCTGAAATTTTTTCTACAAGTAGATGTCATTACCATCTGCCTTCTATAAAAATTTCAGCTTGATAAGTTGTGCCATTAATTTTTAAAAAATAGTGATAAGTTTATTACACAAAAAAGTATAATTATTCCACAACAAACGTAAAACGGGGAAATCACTCTATCTCAAACAACAAACATCAGATTGGCCTGAAATTTTTTCTACAAGTAGAAGTCATTACCATCTGCCTTCTGTGAAAATTTCAGCTTGATGAGATGTGCCGTTAATTTTTAAAAAATAGTGATAGGTTTATTACACAAAAAAGTATAATTATTCCACAACAAACGTAAAACGGGGAAATCACTCTATCTCAAACAACAAACATCAGATTGGCCTGAAATTTTTTCTACTAGTAAAAGTAATTACCATCTGCCTTCAGAGAAAATTTCAGCTTGATGAGTTGTGCCGTTAATTTTTAAAAAATAGTGATAGGTTTATTACACAAAAAAGTATAATTATTCCACAACAAACGTAAAACGGGGAAATCACTCTATCTCAAACAACAAACATCAGATTGGCGTGAAATTTTTTCTACAAGTAGAAGTCATTACCATCTGCCTTCAGAGAAAATTTCAGCTTGATGAGTTGCGCCATTAATTTTTAAAAAATAGTGATAGGTTTATTACACAAAAAAGTATAATTATTCCACAACAAACATAAAACGGGGAAATCACTCTATCTCAAACAACAAACATCAGATTGGCCTGAAATTTTTTCTACAAGTAGAAGTAATTACCATCTGCCTTCAGAGTAAATTTCAGCTTGATGAGTTGTGCCGTTAATTTAAAAAAAATAGTGATAGGTTTATTACACAAAAAAGTATAATTATTCCACAACAAACGTAAACGGGGAAATCACTCTATCTCAAACAACAAACATCAGATTGGCCTGAAAATTTTTCTAAAAAGAGAAGTCATTACCACCTGCCTGCTGTAAAAATTTCAGCTTGATGAGTTGTGCCGTTAATTTTTAAAAAATAGTGATAGGTTTATTACACAAAAAAGTATAATTATTCCACAACAAACGTAAACGGGGAAATCACTCTATCTCAAACAACAAACATCAGATTGGCCTGAAATTTTTTCTACAAGTAGAAGTCATTACCATCTGCCTTCAGAGTAAATTTCAGCTTGATGAGTTGTGCCGTTAATTTAAAAAAAAATAGTGATAGGTTTATTACACAAAAAAGTATAATTATTCCACAACAAACGTAAACGGGGAAATCACTCTATCTCAAACAACAAACATCAGATTGGCCTGAAAATTTTTCTACAAAGAGAAGTCATTACCACCTGCCTGCTGTAAAAATTTCAGCTTGATGAGTTGTGCCGTTAATTTTTAAAAAATAGTGATAGGTTTATTACACAAAAAAGTATAATTATTCCACAACAAACATAAAACGGGGAAATCACTCTATCTCAAACAACAAACATCAGATTGGCCTGAAATTTTTTCTACAAGTAGAAGTAATTACCATCTGCCTTCAGAGAAAATTTCAGCTTGATGAGTTGTGCCGTTAATTTTTAAAAAATAGTGATAGGTTTATTACACAAAAAAGTATAATTATTCCACAACAAACGTAAAACGGGGAAATCACTCTATCTCAAACAACAAACATCAGATTGGCCTGAAATTTTTTCTACAAGTAGAAGTAATTACCAACTGCCTTCTGTGAAAATTTCAGCTTGATGAGATGTGCCGTTAATTTTTAAAAAATAGTGATAGGTTTATTACACAAAAAAGTATAATTATTCCACAACAAACATAAAACGGGGAAATCACTCTATCTCAAACAACAAACATCAGATTGGCCTGAAATTTTTTCTACAAGTAGAAGTAATTACCATCTGCCTTCAGAGAAAATTTCAGCTTGATGAGTTGTGCCGTTAATTTTTAAAAAATAGTGATAGGTTTATTACACAAAAAAGTATAATTATTCCACAACAAACGTAAAACGGGGAAATCACTCTATCTCAAACAACAAACATCAGATTGGCCTGAAATTTTTTCTACAAGTAGAAGTCATTACCAACTGTCTTCTGTGAAAATTTCAGCTTGATGAGTTGTGCCGTTAATTTTTAAAAAATAGTGATAGGTTTATTACACAAAAAAGTATAATTATTCCACAACAAACATAAAACGGGGAAATCACTCTATCTCAAACAACAAACATCAGATTGGCCTGAAATTTTTTCTACAAGTAGAAGTAATTACCATCTGCCTTCAGAGAAAATTTCAGCTTGATGAGTTGTGCCGTTAATTTTTAAAAAATAGTGATAGGTTTATTACACAAAAAAGTATAATTATTCCACAACAAACGTAAAACGGGGAAATCACTCTATCTCAAACAACAAACATCAGATTGGCCTGAAATTTTTTCTACAAGTAGAAGTAATTACCAACTGCCTTCTGTGAAAATTTCAGCTTGATGAGATGTGCCGTTAATTTTTAAAAAATAGTGATAGGTTTATTACACAAAAAAGTATAATTATTCCACAACAAACGTAAAACGGGGAAATCACTCTATCTCAAACAACAAACATCAGATTGGCCTGAAAATTTTTCTACAAAGAGAAGTCATTACCAACTGCCTGCTGTAAAAATTTCAGCTTGATGAGTTGTGCCGTTAATTTAAAAAAATAGTGATAAGTTTATTACAGAAAAAAGTATAATTATTCCACAACAAACGTAAAACGGGGAAATCACTCTATCTCAAACAACAAACATCAGATTGGCCTGAAATTTTTTCTACAAGTAGAAGTCATTACCATCTGCCTTCAGAGAAAATTTCAGCTTGATGAGTTGTGCCGTTAATTTTTAAAAAATAGTGATAGGTTTATTACACAAAAAAGTATAATTATTCCACAACAAACGTAAAACGGGGAAATCACTCTATCTCAAACAACAAACATCAGATTGGCCTGAAATTTTTTCTACAAGTAGAAGTCATTACCATCTGCCTTCAGAGAAAATTTCAGCTTTATTAGTTGTGCCGTTTATTTTAAAAAAATAGTGATAGGTTTATTACACAAAAAAGTATAATTATTCCACAACAAACGTAAAACGGGGAAATCACTCTATCTCAAACAACAAACATCAGATTGGCCTGAAATTTTTTCTACAAGTAGAAGTCATTACCAACTGCCTGCTGTAAAAATTTCAGCTTGATGAGTTGTGCCGTTAATTTTTAAAAAATAGTGATAGGTGTATTACACTAAAAAGTATAATTATTCCACAATAAACGTTAAACGGGGAAATCACTCTATCTCAAACAACAAACATCAGATTGGCCTGAAAATGTTTCTACAAGTAGAAGTCATTACCAACTGCCCTCTATAAAAATTTCAGCTTGATTTGTTGTGCCGTTAATTAAAAAAAATCGTAATAGATTTATTACACAACAGTAAAACAGGCAAATCGCTCTATCTCTAACCCCAACCATCAGATTGGCCTGAAATTGTTTCTACAAGTAGAAATTATTGCAAACTCAACCATTATGGAGTAGTCACTACAAAGCGCAAAAAAAAAAAAAAAAAAAAAAAAAAAAAAAAACAAAAAAAAAAAAAGTTTGGATTCCCTAACACAGACATCAGATTTCAGGTGTTAAGACTCATTGCCGTGTCCCATGGGGAAACTTTGAGCCAGGCTTCCCCTTTTTAATAAGGTAGTTTCTACGCCGATTTTTTTTTCGATTCTAAACCCAATCACCCCGTTTGCAAGCAGGTTGAACGTTACTAAGAACAACCAACAATCCGAGATGGTTTTAATGTTCTATATGAAGACTGCTTTTCTTCTGTTAAAAATCTTCAATTAATTTTTTCCACAACAAAAGTAAACCGGGGAAATCACTCTATCTCTAACCCCAACCGTCAGATTGGCCTGAAATTTTTTCTACAAGTAGATGTCATTACCATCTGCCTTCTATAAAAATTTCAGCTTGATAAGTTGTGCCATTAATTTTTAAAAAATAGTGATAAGTTTATTACACAAAAAAGTATAATTATTCCACAACAAACGTAAAACGGGGAAATCACTCTATCTCAAACAACAAACATCAGATTGGCCTGAAAATTTTTCTACAAAGAGAAGTCATTACCAACTGCCTGCTGTAAAAATTTCAGCTTGATGAGTTGTGCCATTAATTTAAAAAATAGTGATAAGTTTATTACAGAAAAAAGTATAATTATTCCACAACAAACGAAAAACGGGGAAATCACTCTATCTCAAACAACAAACATCAGATTGGCCTGAAATTTTTTCTACAAGTAGAAGTCATTACCATCTGCCTTCAGAGTAAATTTCAGCTTGATGAGTTGTGCCGTTAATTTAAAAAAAAATAGTGATAGGTTTATTACACAAAAAAGTATAATTATTCCACAACAAACGTAAAACGGGGAAATCACTCTATCTCAAACAACAAACATCAGATTGGCCTGAAATTTTTTCTACAAGTAGAAGTCATTACCAACTGTCTTCTGTAAAAATTTCAGCTTGATGAGTTGTGCCGTTAATTTTTAAAAAATAGTGATAGGTTTATTACACAAAAAAGTATAATTATTCCACAACAAACATAAAACGGGGAAATCACTCTATCTCAAACAACAAACATCAGATTGGCCTGAAATTTTTTCTACAAGTAGAAGTAATTACCAACTGCCTTCAGAGAAAATTTCAGCTTGATGAGTTGTGCCGTTAATTTTTAAAAAATAGTGATAGGTTTATTACACAAAAAAGTATAATTATTCCACAACAAACGTAAAACGGGGAAATCACTCCATCTCAAACAACAAACATCAGATTGGCCTGAAATTTTTTCTACAAGTAGAAGTCATTACCAACTGTCTTCTGTGAAAATTTCAGCTTGATGAGTTGTGCCGTTAATTTTTAAAAAATAGTGATAGGTTTATTACACAAAAAAGTATAATTATTCCACAAAAAACGTAAAACGGGGAAATCACTCTATCTCAAACAACAAACATCAGATTGGCCTGAAATTTTTTCTACAAGTAGAAGTCATTACCAACTGTCTTCTGTGAAAATTTCAGCTTGATGAGTTGTGCCGTTAATTTTTAAAAAATAGTGATAGGTTTATTACACAAAAAAGTATAATTATTCCACAAAAAACGTAAAACGGGGAAATCACTCTATCTCAAACAACAAACATCAGATTGGCCTGAAAATGTTTCTACAAAGAGAAGTCATTACCACCTGCCTGCTGTAAAAATTTCAGCTTGATGAGTTGTGCCGTTAATTTTTAAAAAATAGTGATAGGTTTATTACACAAAAAAGTATAATTATTCCACAACAAACGTAAAACGGGGAAATCACTCTATCTCAAACAACAAACATCAGATTGGCCTGAAATTTTTTCTACAAGTAGAAGTCATTACCAACTGTCTTCTGTGAAAATTTCAGCTTGATGAGTTGTGCCGTTAATTTAAAAAAAATAGTGATAGGTTTATTACACAAAAAAGTATAATTATTCCACAAAAAACGTAAAACGGGGAAATCACTCTATCTCAAACAACAAACATCAGATTGGCCTGAATTTTTTTCTACAAGTAGAAGTAATTACCATCTGCCTTCAGAGAAAATTTCAGCTTGATGAGTTGTGCCGTTAATTTTTAAAAAATAGTGATAGGTTTATTACACAAAAAAGTATAATTATTCCACAACAAACGTAAACGGGGAAATCACTCTATCTCAAACAACAAACATCAGATTGGCCTGAAATTTTTTCTACAAGTAGAAGTCATTACCATCTGCCTTCAGAGAAAATTTCAGCTTGATGAGTTGTGCCGTTAATTTTTAAAAAATAGTGATAGGTTTATTACACAAAAAAGTATAATTATTCCACAACAAACGTAAAACGGGGAAATCACTCTATCTCAAACAACAAACATCAGATTGGCCTGAAATTTTTTCTACAAGTAGAAGTCATTACCAACTGCCCTCTATAAAAATTTCAGCTTGATTTGTTGTGCCATTAATTTTTTAAAAATAGTGATAAGTTTATTACACCAAAAAAGTATAATTATTCCACAACAAACGTAAAACGGGGAAATCACTCTATCTCAAACAACAAACATCAGATTGGCCTGAAATTTTTTCTACAAGTAGAAATTATTGCAAACTCAACCATTATGGAGTAGTCACTACAAAGCGCAACAAAAAAAAAAAAAAAGAAAAAAAAAAAAAAAAAAAGTTTGGATTCCCTAACACAGACATCAGATTTCAGGTGTTAAGACTCATTGCCGTGTCCCATGGGGAAACTTTGAGCCAGGCTTCCCCTTTTTAATAAGGTAGTTTCTACGCCGATTTTTTTTTCGATTCTAAACCCAATCACCCCGTTTGCAAGCAGGTTGAACGTTACTAAGAACAACCAACAATCCGAGATGGTTTTTAATGTCCTATATGAAGACTGCTTTTCTTTTGTTAAAAATCTTCAATTAATTTTTTCCACAACAAAAGTAAACCGGGGAAATCACTCTATCTCTAACCCCAACCGTCAGATTGGCCTGAAATTTTTTCTACAAGTAGATGTCATTACCATCTGCCTTCTATAAAAATTTCAGCTTGATAAGTTGTGCCATTAATTTTTAAAAAATAGTGATAAGTTTATTACACAAAAAAGTATAATTATTCCACAACAAACGTAAAACGGGGAAATCACTCTATCTCAAACAACAAACATCAGATTGGCCTGAAAATTTTTCTACAAAGAGAAGTCATTACCAACTGCCTGCTGTAAAAATTTCAGCTTGATGAGTTGTGCCGTTAATTTTTAAAAAATAGTGATAGGTTTATTACACAAAAAAGTATAATTATTCCACAACAAACGTTAAACGGGGAAATCACTCTATCTCAAACAACAAGCATTAGATTGTCCTGAAATTTTTTCTACAAGTAGAGGTCACTACCAACTGCCTTCTGTGAAAATTTCAGCTTGATTTGTTGTGCCGTTAATTAAAAAAAATCGTAATAGATTTATTACACAACAGTAAAACAGGCAAATCGCTCTATCTCTAACCCCAACCTTCAGATTGGCCTGAAATTGTTTCTACAAGTAGAAATTATTGCAAACTCAACCATTATGGAGTAGTCACTACAAAGCGCAACAAAAAAAAAAAAAAAAGGAAAAAAAAAAAAAAAAAAGTTTGGATTCCCTAACACAGACATCAGATTTCAGGTGTTAAGACTCATTGCCGTGTCTCATGGGGAAACTTTGAGCCAGGCTTCCCCTTTTTAATAAGGTAGTTTCTACGCCGATTTTTTTTTCGATTCTAAACCCAATCACCCCGTTTGCAAGCAGGTTGAACGTTACTAAGAACAACCAACAATCCGAGATGGTTTTTAATGTCCTATATGAAGACTGCTTTTCTTTTGTTAAAAATCTTCAATTAATTTTTTCCACAACAAAAGTAAACCGGGGAAATCACTCTATCTCTAACCCCAACCGTCAGATTGGCCTGAAATTTTTTCTACAAGTAGATGTCATTACCATCTGCCTTCTATAAAAATTTCAGCTTGATAAGTTGTGCCATTAATTTTTAAAAAATAGTGATAAGTTTATTACACAAAAAAGTATAATTATTCCACAACAAACGTAAAACGGGGAAATCACTCTATCTCAAACAACAAACATCAGATTGGCCTGAAATTTTTTCTACAAGTAGAAGTAATTACCATCTGCCTTCAGAGTAAATTTCAGCTTGATGAGTTGTGCCGTTAATTTAAAAAAAAATAGTGATAGGTTTATTACACAAAAAAGTATAATTATTCCACAACAAACGTAAAACGGGGAAATCACTCTATCTCAAACAACAAACATCAGATTGGCCTGAAATTTTTTCTACAAGTAGAAGTCATTACCAACTGTCTTCTGTGAAAATTTCAGCTTGATGAGTTGTGCCGTTAATTTTTAAAAAATAGTGATAGGTTTATTACACAAAAAAGTATAATTATTCCACAACAAACGTAAAACGGGGAAATCACTCTATCTCAAACAACAAACATCAGATTGGCCTGAAATTTTTTCTACAAGTAGAAGTCATTACCAACTGCCCTCTATAAAAATTTCAGCTTGATTTGTTGTGCCATTAATTTTTAAAAAATAGTGATAAGTTTATTACACCAAAAAAGTATAATTATTCCACAACAAACGTAAAACGGGGAAATCACTCTATCTCAAACAACAAACATCAGATTGGCCTGAAATTTTTTCTACAAGTAGAAGTCATTACCAACTGCCTGCTGTAAAAATTTCAGCTTGATGAGTTGTGCCGTTAATTTTTAAAAAATAGTGATAGGTTTATTACACAAAAAAGTATAATTATTCCACAACAAACGTTAAACGGGGAAATCACTCTATCTCAAACAACAAACATCAGATTGGCCTGAAATTTTTTCTACAAGTAGAAGTCATTACCAACTGCCCTCTATAAAAATTTCAGCTTGATTTGTTGTGCCATTAATTTTTAAAAAATAGTGATAAGTTTATTACACCAAAAAAGTATAATTATTCCACAACAAACGTAAAACGGGGAAATCACTCTATCTCAAACAA